TAGTGTTGACAATCGGTTACTATAAAAAGGCTCGAATAATCGTGTCCCCTCTTCCCAAATCGTCCGTTTTGGTGCGCAATCTAAGCGCGAATTAGAGAGAAATTACTATAGTAATTAAAGAATAAGATCTACTAAAAATGCAACGAACACCTGTTACGGCTGTTACGAGGTTAAAATTGTTACCAGTAACGGAGATGCACATACATGACAGATTCGTTACCTTCGATTCCAGAATTAGCTTGTGCCATTGGCCGTATCAACCATTCATCTTGCGCGTACCGATGTCGGGATGTTAAAGAGGAATGTTGAAGAAACGGAATCGTAATAAAGGAGAAAGCTGTTTTTCCTAGCACCCTAACGACCACGCCGGAAGACAAATGGAAGAAGACGTTAATTACACGAGGTCCCTGAAAATGAATTTAACCAGGTCGGGATATCTGCAAGCGAGATCTGTTAAAGAGGGAAAGAGGCGTGCCCGCTTCTTGCATTACTCGCCGGATAGTCTCGGATAGTCTCCTGCTGAGAACATCGCCGCGCTAGGTTTTGCCAAATAGTTTCTCGAAAAACGGCTTGCACTTGCTTTGTGAACGGAAGAGAATAGGCAGATGGGTGGAACGAAGACGAGCCGAGACCGCCGTAGCGGCGTCTCACCTGTCCACGATTTTTCCCTCCCTCATGGATGGACAGATGATCGATCACCGAAAATGAGGGTGCACGCTGAACGCTAACGAATCACCTCTAAATTTCTGCTCTTCTTGAACGATAAATATATCACAAGGCGTCATCGTTTTAACATTTTTCAGACGTACCGTCCGCTTTAAACGGAACACGGAACATTTATGCAGCCGTGTTCCCTGGAAAAAAAACAAACATATGTTGCGTTCAGTAGGGGTGACATAACAAGTCGACTACGATCGAGCAAAAACTATTACATTTGTAATAAAAGACGATTATGTAAAAATATTACCTATGTTACTATTATTATTATATTATTAATATTATTATATATTAATATTATTAATATTATTAATATTACCTAGCTATTTAATAACTTAGTTATAACTAACTAAATAAGTTATAAATAACCTTAACTACTATTGCCGGTCTGTGTCAGACCGCTACTAATTATTCATTCTTGTTCATAATTTGTATTCAGGGTTGTAAGCAAAATTGTAAGAAAAAGGTACGTATTCAATTCACTTGTTTCTACTCAATCGAACTTGGACTTCTTCGCTATTTATGTGCAAAGTAAGAACAATTGATTTTGATTTTTTTATTATTAACACTTTTATGTCAATAATAACGTAATAAACATTAGAGCGGCTATGAAACCACTAATAGTGCTTACGTAAATTTTAATATGTGTATTAGTTAATGATTATTTCACCGTATCTCCGATTTTCAACAAGTAATGTTGTTAAAGTTATCAACACAAAATGGAGACCGGGGATAATGTTACTTTCCCGTAGCTCAGAATTCGGTTGCATATTAACATAATTCAAGTAATACTATTCATATTGAAATATGCGTTTTGCATACTATTATATATTAAAAACTTTCAATGATAACTTTATTAGATTTTAAATTATGTATACATTTTTTTAAATGTAACTTCCGTGTTACTTTCGATCCCGATCTCCCATATTCGCAAATAAATTTGTTCAATGGATGAGCGAATGAAAATGAAAAAACAGACGATTTTCATTTACGTAAAAACATATTCATATATTTCATTGGCGATTCTTTTCTCTATCAAACATGTTAACGAAAGAATTAATTGAAAGTTCTACCCATTGCAATGTTTATTTAATCAGCGTTCAGATATTTATTCCGCAGCAATGTATGACGGTTATAACTATGAATTATCATGCTCCATTTTTCATGGTATCCTTTGACATTATCGCTGACGTTTCCTTTTTTATTATTAGAACACAGTGAAAGAGAATCCAATCTTCTTTCAAGATTAATTATGTCGACATTCAATATCCTTGCCTGTACTATTTCAACTCGTTAAGATTAATGTTTTTGCGATCCCGTTGTTTTATTTGTGTATTGCATGGTACCTGTACAAAAATACTTGAGATCAGCCCCAGATATACATAGAGCCAAAATTATCACATTTTCTAGTCTTCCTTAAATGATTAAAAATTCTTTAATGAGACCCATTTATTTTTGAAAATCTTATGCAATGTAGCAACAACCTTACTATAAGAAAAAGGAATTAATTTATTAATAAAAATACCAGCAAGGTATTATTGAGTTCCTTGGACCTTCACCCGTGCACTGGAGGGTTAAAACCGCATGTAAATGTAAAACTAACACTAAATAAAGGTATAAATAAAAAGGAATACACAGAAAAGGAGAAGAAAAAGAAGAAAATGAAGAAAAAGAGGAAAAGAACAATATATGATACAGTCAAGTTATTCGTTCTTCGACAAGAATTATAATACTTACTTTTTGAATTTACTAGAAACAATTGCAATAAATCCAGTTGTATTTGACATACATAGTGTGATACATGCAAATGTAAAATAATATGCGTGTCATGTATTTACTAGTTATTTAAAGTTACTTTATTGTAACTTTGCAATTAGCAATTAATTAAAACACGCAGCATAAATAACCTACAAATATATTTGTTATTTTTAATGATGAA